CAAGGGGGAGAAGGAAGGAGGGCGGCAAAGCGGAGGTGGTAATTAAGCACAGTTTCGCGTGACCTTGTCCCTCGCACTATTATTCGCGCACGGCCAGCTAGCGCACATCGGACCGAGATTCCTACCGACCGAATGAAAGTTCCAAGTTGTGAACTGCCAGAGCGACGACGCTCTCAGACGAACTTTCTGCACGGACGTAGCTCTTAAACGGCGAATTTTAGCCTGATCCCCCCCCCCCCCTAAAATCTGAAATGAGGGGCTTAGAGGACACACTGAAAAGAAATTCTCGGCGTTTTTACCACGGTCCGTTGGTACCTTTACCATCTCACTTTTTTTACCAATTATTGGTAATTTTACCAAGACAGACTGTTAAGCTTACTTAAAAACCGGTTTTTTACTGTTTTTTCAGGTAAGAATACCACTTTTATTGGTAATCAATTCCCGGTAACTTTGCCATTATATCTCGGTAATTCTACGGTTCTACCACAGTTGATAAAAAATATTGGCGTTTTTACCAAGGTTCAGTAAAATTTTACCGAGATTTCTCGGTAAAATTACCAATTCCATAACTGGTAATTTTACCGATTATTTTTATAATTTTTACTGGTAAATACACCGAGATTTTTGTTTCAGTGTTAAACGGCGAATTTTAGCCTGACCCCCCCCCCCTCTAAAATCTGAAATGAGTGGCTTAGAGGACAGGGCGCATAAGTGCAGTTTTTGCTATTTCGAGAAATACGTGTTTGAAGTTTCGAAATAACATGGATCCTTATGGTGGAAAGAAAGTTCAAACTGATTTTTCGCTGAGAAAAAATTCTCGGCGTTTTTACCACGGTCCGTTGGTACCTTTACCATCTCACTTTTTTTACCAATTATTGGTAATTTTACCAAGACAGACTGTTAAGCTTACTTAAAAACCGGTTTTTTACTGTTTTTTCAGGTAAGAATACCACTTTTATTGGTAATCAATTCCCGGTAACTTTGCCATTATATCTCGGTAATTCTACGGTTCTACCACAGTTGATAAAAAATATTGGCGTTTTTACCAAGGTCCAGTAAAATTACCGAGAAAGTCAATAATTGTACCGAGATCTCTCCGTAAAATTACCAATTCCATAACTGGTAATTTTACCAAGAAAAAACTGGGATCAAATAGAACCCTGAATTCTTGGTAATTTTACCCTTTTCTTAGTAAATACACCGAGATTTTTGTTTCAGTGTTAAACGGCGAATTTTAGCCTGACCCCCCCCCCCTCTAAAATCTGAAATGAGGGGCTTAGAGGACAGGGCGCATAAGTGCAGTTTTTGCTATTTCGAGAAATGCGTGTTAGAAGTTTCGAAATAACATGGATCCTTATGGCGGAAAGAAAGTTCAAATTGATATGTTGATGCTTAAAAATTTGAATTTGGGAGCGAATTTTTCACAGAATATCTATCAAGACTAGTTTTACTTGAGTTCATTGATATCTCAATTTTTTCAAAATCTGCACTTATGCGCCTTGTCCTCCAAGCCCCTCAGATATTATTGGATGGATACTTTACTTTAGATGCATTAAACCATCCGTCATGAGGGGGAAAAAAATCACTTTTTTACCTTAGGGTTTCTCCTCACTCGAGAACCTGTATAGAGAGAGTGCGGGCATAGCAAAATATGGAGCTCCTGGGGCCCAAAAGAGCAGCCAAACTTCGAACACGAAACATGTCACTGCCAATCTTCAGATTCCGATATCAAGCGAAGATGGCCAAGAATATTCGATGAGCATTTTTCCGCAAAAGCGAGTTAAGTTATGCAAGAACTAAGTCAAATAGCAGAAAGGAACGAAGGCACATCAGCTATTGCCAAATTTAATCGGGTAATTTAAGTTTTTACGTGAAAGCGGTTGTGCGGATTTTTGTGCAAATTTCAGTGAATTTTCTGCATAGTAAGAAGCAAATTTCTCAAAAGTTTCAGAGAAATCCGCATAAACCTTCTCTTGTAAAAAATTAAATCGCCCACTTTAATTTGATAATAGCTTATGTGCTCCTTGTGATGTGTGTGATGTGGTTCCTTTCTGCTAAACGCGGTCCAATTGTAATAATAAATCCCAATGGATCATTTTAATTCATAGCTTCGCTGCCTTTTCGGGCCCTAATAGCTCCATGGTCTGACCTCAAAATTACCGACAGTTCTGTACCTACTCTCCCTATATAAATACTCTCGTCTACACCGGTGCAGCTTGCGGAACTTCGGGCGAGTTAGTTCAACGAACTGGGGTTTCGCGGAGTAAGTTATAGCTGATGTATAATAAGTTCCGGGAACAAGTCCGCCCGAAGTTCCGCGAACTGAGCTCGTGTAGACAAGGCCTTAGACATGAATTGTCTCAATGTCAAAATGATTCTGAGGCTACCTGTCTCTTAAAAAGGGGAAGCGATACGCGCACATAGGAGTTAAACTAGTGGTATCACAATCTACTACTCACAGCTCATTTTTGCAAAGGTCCTTTCGCCTAGCGCCGCTGTAAGTTCGCCTTCAGTTTAGAAGGTATGCAATACGCGTTCCCCGGAGTTAAAATAGTGGTATCCTAATATTGCTCTTACGAGAGCTTGATTCGGAGAGTTTCGTATTGTAATTTATTGCTCTTTCGATTTTATGATCAGAAAAGTTCAAATTCTAAGAAGTTCCTTCCTTTAACGGCACGGCTAGTTTGCCTACAGTTTTTCAAGTATGCGACCCGCTTACTCGGGAGTGAAAATAGTGATCACAATCTACTGCTCAAAGTCAATCAAAATATCTCAATTTTGCAGAAGTGCTTTCGTTCAACATCATGCGTCACTGTAAGGTTGCCTTCATTTTAGCAGGTATGCGACACGCGTTCTCAGGAGTTAAAATAGTGGTATCATAGTTTATTGCTCTTACAAGCACTTGATTCGAAGAGATAAAATTCTACAGAGGTGCTTTAATTGAACGCCAATGTAAGCTCGTCTTAATTTTTGACGGCATGCAACACAAGTTTTGAGGTGTCAATATCGATAAATAAATTCTAAGAACGCGTATCTTCAGTGCAATGCTGTGACATATCGGTCGCTATGCTTAATTTGTGAAAAGAAACTCTGATCAAAATGTTGCTGTAATTTTTTAATATTTTTAAATGAGTGTAGAAAAACTCAGAAAATTTTAAGAAAACCTGGGACTAGGTTCTATTATTTAAAAAAGTAAACTATATGAGCGGAGGTTTGTGACAGTGCAACTGGAGATTCACATTTTTCGTCTTTAGAAATCGATATGGTGCTGTTTCATTCTCGTGCATGTTAAAACAGGCTCACAGTGGCAACCCAAAATTCGTTATTAGACGCAGTTTATATAACGAGTATTTTGGGGGGAAAAGGACCTCAAAAAGTATACTAACTTGACAGTGCCAGTTTTGGCCGAATAGTCGTCCAGGAGCTTTCGGAACTGTTTAATGATGTCATACGTTCCTGGCTGATCCCTAGTGTGGATGTGAGTGAGGAATTCGACGTCTGTGGGCAGGACGTCTGGTTTGTTGGATGGCGGCTCGTCCCTCAGCTGATCATCTTCGATAATCGTCATCACAGCGTCCATTCTAAAACCATCGACTCCTTTGTCCATCCAGTATGTCAAAACATCCTGGAAATGCATTCATTCTTATGAGACTCAGCGTGTTTTTACACCATGGCAATCAGTGGCGAGGCGCGGATGATCGATTATCGATATTTCTCCATTTGAAGCTATGGTAAAGAATCGATTATTAAGGTGTTTGTTGCGAGGAACCTGTTCATCGATCCTTTTCCATGAGTTTAAAGGACAGATCAATCGATAAATCGCAAAGCACGCCACGCCACTGATGGCGATTCTTGAAAGTTAATGGCTCCGGGCTCGGCCCAAAAGTGTACGTGAAATCCCCCCCCCCCCATCCCCCCGAGCGGGTGTTTGGAGGGCAAGGCGCACAAGTGCAGTTTCTGAGAAAATTGAGGTATTGACGATTTCAACTAAAACTAATGTTACAACATATTTTGTATAGGAAAGTTCACTCCTGAAATTCAATTTAAAGCATTAAAAAGTATGAGTTTAAACTTGCTTACCACCGGATTAAGGCGGCATGTGATTTTGAATTTTAAAAAAGTATGTTTATGAAATCTTAAAAACTCCACTTGAACGCACTGTCCCCACTTTCAAATGAGGGGCTTGGAGGGTAAGGTGCATCAGTGCAGCTTTTGAAAAAATTAAGATATTAATTATTTCGAGTAAAACTCGTCTTAATGCTTATTCAGTGAAAAATTCGCCACCAAACTCCTATTTTTAACCATCAAAGAGTCAGTTTGAATTTGCTTGTCCCCATTAGGATTCATATAATTCCAAGCCTTCAAACACTTATTTCTCGAGGTAACAAAAACTGCACTTTTGCGCCTTGTCCTCCGAGCCCTTCAAATAAGCTATATTCATAGATTCCAGGTGAAGCGAGGCCATGTCACCACGGGACGATTTCCTGCGAAAATTCGGACTACGAAGTGGCGTCAAATATTGACTTACTCAATATAACTCGCAAATCTAAGAATAACTAAGAGAGGAATAGGAAGCGAAAGCAAATTGTGTATCATTTTATTCACTCGATTGTTCGATTTTGTTTGCACTTTGGTCAGATTCAAATCATTTATAGTCTTACCCTGTTTCTTTATTAAATTTCCCTAGTAAAAATTGGCAGTAGAATCTGTGTTCCAAAATACCATAGACCTACAGCCGGCTGTAAGATTTCCAATAGCTTCTATAGCCGGCTACACAATTTCTTATAGCCTTTTATAGCCGATGGCGATTAAGCAACAGCCAGGCGATAAAGTGTATGCTAAACATTACTAATTACGGATACTAGACTTAGTGAGTTTTTGGAATACTGCTCTCTTTTTGGGCCGTAGTATCTTGATTTATTTTGCGAGGAAAGCTCCGTACTTTTGATGAATGCCTGCCATTACTAATATACTAGAGCGCATTCAGTTTCGTATGATACTGTGCAATACCTCTGGTGTGAAATAGCTGCTTCAAGCGCGGTGGCAGGCGGGCAACCAGCGCGGAACACGCATTGGCGCCTACAAACCTAACAGGGATACTTCACGCGTTGCGCAATGCGTGAAGTATCCCTGTTAGGTTGATGGCGCCAGTGCGTCGCCGCTCCGCTTTGTGTTAGACTCCAATATTTAATCTGGCGGAGTCAGCGTTATTAAACTCATGATTTTGAAATGTTAGCACATCCTGTATGGATTATTCTCATTTTAATTGATGAAAAAAAATATGTATTAAAGGAAAATATAACATGTGTTTTGTAAATATTAAGGTGGTGCCGTATCAAATTTAATGATTTCCAAAGCACACGAATTTCTACACAATTTCTTATAGCCTTTTATAATCGATGGCGAAAAAGGAACAGCCAGGCGATAAAGTGTAAAGCCCGGCGATAGGAACTATAGCCCGGCTGCATAATTTTTTATCGCTTCGTTTAGCCCGTCCGTATATGATTTTCTCCGCATTCTACAGCCAGCTGTATGATTTTCTGTAGCCTTCTTTAGCCGGCTATAAGAATTCCTATGGTATTTTGAAACGCAGCTCTTATCGCCAATTTTTACCAGGGATTATTGGTTTAATGGCAAATTGTGTAAATGTCGTTAAAACGTGAGAGCCCCACCCCCCACCCCGCAGACACGGTAGCGTCGCAGAATCGCCTGAGTGTCTTTCGCACTATTTGACGTTGCGTCAAATCGCACGTAAACTGCCCGTGGAGACAGGGCTTAAGCAGTAAGCAATCTCACTAGAAATCGATTATTTGTAATGGAGTTAAATTGACTAGGAAGAGCAGTGTTGCAAAATTGTGAGACTCTTTATTGTTCGAACACGTATATCTCCCTTCTGCGCGGGCTGATTATTGCAATTGATAGACAAAGCAATAAACAAAGAAGACGAAGGGAAAATTGAGCGATCCTATTGGCTGAAACTGGCAGTTGTTATACCTAGACTAAGAAGGAAAATTATGGAGCAACAGTATAGAATTTCTCATGGTTTGCCATTAACTGGTCTATTACTTCACTGAAAAAAAAGATTGGTAGAATTCACCATTCCTTCACGCTGTATTTCACACAGCGTCAATTTAGAGTCAATTCTGCCAGAAGAAAGGTAAACGTTACCATATACGGGGACAGGTAACCATTCCTCTGACAGAATCGACTTGAAGATTGGTAGAATTTACCATTCCCTCACGCTGTGTAAAATACAGCGTGAAAGAATGGTAAAATCTACCAATCTTTTTTTTCAGTGTTACTTCCTTTGCCTATTACCTATATCCGCTTCTACCTATAGGAGGCTCCATTTTTCCTTTGGCGTCTTTGTCTATCGTTTTTTCTGTCGATTTCAAAAATCTGGTCTAGTTAAAACCTCCGGAGTCTTCCCAGTTTATAGTGTTCACAATACCAACTTTAGGATCCAAGTTGGTGTGAGGTGACTTGCCTGCCTTAGAACCTTTTCTTGCATGCAGATAAATAAGACTGTTTAATGCACCAGACCATTTTGTCCAGAACTGCTTACACTTGGAGCTACTATAAATCTGAAAAACTATGATTTCCCAGAGGAACAGGTGAAAAACGACTACATTGGTTTTCGTATTTCACAAAATCTACTTAAGGCATGCTCATCATTTCCTAGGACGGCGTGTAAATCAAATCAACTTTTCTCGGAGGAAAATATATTTGTCCATTGACGACCCAAGCACAGATACTCGCTGTTAATATCAAAGCTTGAACAGGTGCATTGATAAGCGGAAATATGAATGCGATAAAAAAGTGATCTCTGAAGACTGCACCCGGCATATTTACGTGACGAGGCATTCTCCAAAGAGAGAAGTATTTGCGGCTATCACGACTTTTATGTAACTACATGCATGTTCATTCGATACTCCTCGGGGGGTGATGAATTTCCTCAACTGATGTTTTGAGAATTGAGTACGGCTTTCTGACTCAAAAAAAGAAATGTGCAGATTCTTACCTTCATTTCTTGAACCACGAGAGGATTTCTGTAGTTCAAATCGGGCTGTTTATGGTGGAACTGATGTAAGAAGTATTGCTTCCGTTTTTCATTCCAAGTCCACGCTGACCCTCCAAAATCTGATAGCTGAAAAAGAAATCACGATAAATCAGTCAAAAGTACCTACTTCAGATTCGGTCTTTTAGGAAACGGTGTAACAACTGCGACCTTAGAAGAAACGAACATTCAATAGACAACATTTATAACATTCATATAGATTGTATAATTTTAAAATTAGGAAAGCGACTGAACGCGAAAATCATAGGTACCTAAGTTTCAATGACGACAACATGGGAGGCCATCTGTAAAATATTAAAGTTATACAGTCGGAGGAAGAAGTCTGAAACTGCACAACAGGTGCCTAACGAAGGGGAAGATGTCACTTCACCTAACGTTAGGCAGAAAATGCTTGTAATTTGTAAATTTTAAACATGAGGAAGAGGACATTTTTGAGAAATAAAACACTAAATTTTAAAAAATGTCCTGATTATTTCCAGGGGTTATGGAGAATAGTGAATTCGCTTAGCTTTAAGTAATTTATAGAAAATTTTAAAGATGCTTCATGCTCAACAAGGATGGATGGCGTGAAAAATTCAGGGGGTTCATCGTATAATATATAATCCCCCCTGCCCCCCTTATTTTAGCAAACTTTTGTAAGTGCCTTTTTTAAAATTTTATACTTTTTTTTGTCCTAAAAAACTTCACACCAATTTGAATAAAAATAACATTTATCTTATGTCATGAGTGATTTAGATACATTAATAATTACTTACCCAGTTATTTGGGGGTGATCTGGTCCCATTTACATACTTAGCATCAACCCAAACGTAATAATTTGTGTAAGGGTCCTCTCTTGCGACGGATCGTACAAACCAGTCGTGTTGATCACTTGTATGGTTCGGCACGAAGTCAAGAATTATTTTCAGTCCTAGAAAAATGGAAATAAAACTGCGGTTACCTAACTGATTTTTATTCAAACAAGAACTCTTAAGTACCCTTAAACCATTGGTATAATTCATTTACAAAATTATTCATTTGCGTTTAACCGAAGCTTGTGTTTATCATTTTCCTGACTGTCGATCAAAGGTTTCTTCATACTCTCTTATAGCACTACTTGCAATTCCAGGAGGATAGTAGGTGGCTACAGAACGGGCATACAATACATTGCTACTTTTAGTAGAAATCTCACATGGTCGATACAGAGGGGGCAATTTCACATTGCTATTCCGCCTTCAATCTAAAAGGTAGGCAAAAAAGCATTTTTTGCGCAGGCATAGTTATCTACTCTGAAGTTATTGCTATAAATTTTCTTTAAAAATCGTCTAGCAGCAAATTTTGTCAAACTTTAACCTGACAACTTGACCCCATCTCAATTTTTCTGTTACTATTGCTATTACTGTCACTAAATAAATCATATAGACAAAGTGATTCACTCAGAATTTTTTTTGGAGGAAGCAGTATTTTCCTGGCATAAATATAGAGAGCAGAACTAGTAATTTTCGAATGCATTGAAATCTGCATGACTCGAAAATTATTATTCAAAATCAAGTGTTTCGCTCAAAAATTAGTGTTTCTGGCACCAAATAAATATATTTAAAACGTCGGAATCCCAATTTTTGGTGCACTTTTCTTTCCCGAATAACTTGAAATATGTTCTAGTTGTTTTTTGCCCCCCGCCCTCTTCCACTGATTAAGGGTTTGTAGTTGTGATGTGCCAGGAGCATTTACTCTTTCGATTTTCTCCAATTGTGCGATATTTCTCTAAGACTTCACTTAAGAGGTAAGTGACCGGTTGTTAGACGTAAAATACATACCATTTTTCTGGAATAACTCCTTCAGTACTTCGAAATCTTCCATGGTTCCGAACATAGGTTCAATAGCTCTGAAGTCAGAGATATCGTAGCCGAAATCAACCATTGGTGAACGAAAAATAGGAGAAAGCCACACCGCTTTGATACCTAAATTCGAAAGGTAATCGACTTTCTCTGCGATACCTGCATCAAAAAATGGAATACATATGATTTTACGTCGAAATCAAGTCAATGATGCATACATTCACTGGTAAAAAAAATCTCTTGGTTCAAGAGTGCAGTTTCTTGTCGCCGGATTTAAGAGTCTGGACTCTTGTTTCAATGCAAAATCCGCTTGAATCAATGCAAAATCCGTTTGAATCAATGCAAAATCCGCTTGAAACAAGAGTTCAAGATTCTTAAATCCGGCGACAAGAAACTGCACTCTTAAGTCAATGCACCGCGGCATTGGTCCAAGAGGTTTTTTTTTTTACCAGTGTTGCAAATCAACTCATCTTTGATTTAGTTCTAAAAAGATGTTCCTGAATGTCAGTGTTTCCCACTGTTCATATTATAGAATTTATGAAAAGAAAATTTGATTCGTCGTTGTGCGCACCACCAAGTTACATTTTGACGGTCGAGTCAGACATGAGATGAGTCCGAGTGGTGGTTTAACAGTGTTAGTCTAAACATCAAATCTGGGAATACTATTGAAAGGTATATCATTTTAAAAAAATATTGAAGACTTGGTGGATGACGTCACCTAAATTTAGGCTGGAATCTCAATCTGACTTGAAAACGTCTTGACGTGAAATCATCTGGAGATCGCTATGAATAAGGATCACGTCTCGTGCAACAGTGGCGCGGCTTACTTTGCGATGTATCGATTGATCTGCCGTTTAAACCTATGGAAAAGGATCGATATACAGGACAGGGTGTTCGCAACGAACACCGTAATTATCGATTCTTCACCATAGCTTCAAATGGGGAAATATCGATAAATCGATCATTCACGCCTCGCCATTGTCGCACACATTAGAGTTTCTTATGTGCGGTGAAATTTCTACACTTTAAGCAGTTGCAAGAGGATTTCAAGTTAAGAAAGTTCTAAGGTCTCCGGCATCATTTTGGAAAAGGTTGACTCTCACGGTAAAACACGCCACATGAGTCCCTCGACCAAACTATCACAAGTGCCACGCTGCCGATAAAATTCAGTGAAATTTTAAAATAGATTCAATCAGCAGTTTCTCCGTAAGAAATAAAATGACGGCGGAAATTTTGAAACGCCACAAGGCGCTTTTGACACTTTGGCCGGAAGGTGACAAAATAATCTTCGATAAAATTCGAATTTTCAGGAAATCTTGTGCATATTTTTGTCTTAATTCTGCAGAAAACTTTATTTGCAATTCAGTCAAAAGCACCTGAAACTTTTAAGGGAAAATATATCTCTTCTTTCAAATAAATTTTTTATCAAGAGAAGTCGGGCAACATCTGAATGTGCATACGGCGTTCTTCCCTAGCATGGCCGAGTTCCTCTATCGTTACGACATTTTGACTGATCGATTTATAGCATTGTGAGGATTGGGAGTTATCGATGAAACTCATTCGAAACGATTCAACAGTCGTCCCGCAGCTAACGATTTACAGTTTAAGTCCGACGGTTTATTTAGAGAAAGAAGAACTCAAACAAGACGGTTGCATCGTACAGTGCAGTACACTTAATTGCGAATTGCATTTCGATTATTGCCTCGCTTCATTGAGCAACGTGATCAGTGATATCGAAAGTCTTACTCCAAATCACCTATCATGAACCGCAGTTCAAGGAACTTCATCGGCGCTTAATTACTCTAGCTTCTTCCTCGGTTTTTTTGCAACCGCAAAAGGGACGGTTCGATTGCAGCTAAGCGCTTGAGCTGAAAATCAACAGAAATCGCGTTTTATCGATTATGAGGATTAAGCGAATCTGCTTCCAGTGGCGAGGCGTGAACGATCGATTATCGATATTTCCCAATTTGAAGCTATGGTAAAGAATCGATTATTATGGTGTTCGTTGCGAACACCTTGTTTATCGATCCTTTTCCATAGTAATAAATGGCAGATTAATCGATGTATCGCAAAACGCCTCGCCACTGTCTGTTTCATACCTGAGCAATCGTGGTAGATTAATTAAGCACCTATCATTAAAGTTTGTTCTTGTTAATCTATTGGTTGAGTGCTCCATGAGAATCAATATAAATCAATGGGGCGGCTTTACCAGTAAAAACCTGCGCAGATTATTGATATTGATATAAGTCTTTAAGTACATGAAATTCTGAGATTTACTTACCCTTCAGATCGCCGACTCCATCACCGTCTGAGTCCTTGAACGACCTGGGGTAAATTTGATAAATGACACCCCTTTCCCACCACGCTAAGTCTCTTTGAGGGTATGCTTTCATTACCTCGCATGTGGCCGAAGCCACAACGAGACAAAATACTGCTACCAGCTTCATCTGAAACAATTGAGAATGTATATAAGATTAATTAGAATATCTAAAAAAGGAAAATCCTAGGGGGAAAAATTATGAAATACATATCACGACTCTTTAAAAGGAGGAAATATTTTTTAGCCCAGACCGGAACAGAATGCTCGGATCGGTGGCATTTCCGACTGTCTGAGACCAAACTTTTCAGCGATGACAACATTTGTCGACGACCACCAGAAAGCTCTGTCGAAGGAACTTTTTTTAAAAATTGTCTCCTTCATATTCACAAGTTTTTTAGGAGTTTATTTTTCTACTGGCTACTGTTTCTTTTTCACTCGTTGCTATTGGGAATTCCATCACTTAGATTCGAAAAGTACGTGCTTTAGTTGATCTTAAAACTGCCTGTAAATTCACTTCAGTTTTCAAAAATAATCAGGAAAAAATTGCAATGAGGTATATTGATTGGTTTTATATTTAAAAAAGTAAACATGATTGGAGATTCTAAAAAAATTCAAATTAAGTACGCGTTTTTTTACTTTCACCATCGAAATAAGTACTCTTCTTATTTTACAGCAGACGCAGGAGAAAAACACTAATCACCAGGAAAAATTGGCCTAATATTAGCAGTAACATTCTTGAATTTGCCGCCAAAAGGATTTCTTCTTTAATCAAGAAGAAAAATGCTCATTGCAGGAAGAGGAGATAATTTCATCGAGCAGTAACTCCCTTGACTCACCCGATTGTTCTTTTATTCTCGGAAGAAATCTTCTTGACAAAATATTTCAACTTGGAATTCAATAATGTTTCGGCTTAATCAGCATGGTAAAAAGTATATAAAAATTTCAATTATATTCCTGGATGATTTTAGCCCCGACCAGAAGTTTGGTTGCACCAGTCAGAAGAACTTTTAAGTCAGTCACATCTGACTGGTTCAACCATATTTCTGGCTGATGCATCCAAAGTTCTGGTCGGTTTCAAAACCAACCAGGATCATAGTTGAAATCACCATACTATTTTTTTTTTTAAATTTATTTTCTCGGCGAAGCAAAAAAATTCTCGGCGTTTTTACGAAGGTCCGTTGGTACCTTTACCATCTCATTTTTTTACCAATTATTGGTAATTTTACCAAGACAGACTGGTAAGCTTACCTTAAAACCGGTATTTTTACGGTTTTTTTTTTATTTTCAGGTAAGAATACAGCTTTTATTGGCAATCAATTCCCGGTAACTTTGCCATTTTATCTCGGTAATACTACCACAGTCGATAAAAAATATTAGCGTTTTTACCAAGGTCCAGTAAAATTACCGAGAAAGTTCAATAATTTTACCGAGATTTCTCAGTAAAATTACCAATTCCAAAAATGGAAATTTTACCAAGAAAAAACTGGGATCAAATAGAACCCTGAATTCTTGGTAATTTTACCCTTTTCTTGGTAAATACACCGATATTTTTTTCAGTGTGCAGGTTTCTTATTATTATATTTTAATCAAACGTTGCAAACCTTAGCCGGCGCCGCGGAGGAGCAAGAATCAAACACAAGCACAATTTCTCGATAGGAAGTACGGAACTTGCGCGAATCCAAGAAAGGACGTCTCGAGGGTGCGAGGGAGGATCGCGCGCGAGTTGCGAGTACACGCGCGTGTGTGGTGTGGATGCCGCGGCGAGTCGGCGAACAATGACGATCGGCGGTGTCCAGCGGCGGGTCATACACGCGCAATGCTCGTCGCCAGGCAGAATCACCAAAACACCGGATTCAACAGTTTTCCAGCCGGCCGCAATTAACCATTACCCAAACGAGAATTATCTTTTCATTCACCGATTCATCACCTTAATTGCTCCGGCCGCGCGCCGCCCCGCCGCTGTCACGCCCGGTCGCTACACTCTCCGCTCCGGCCTTCCGAGCGCGGACCCGAAGCCGAGGCGATTAACTCGCGCGTCAAGCCGAGCCGGACGCGGTAGTCCGCGCTTCCGATGATCGACCGATTCGCCAGACGCCGGACCGGACGCGCTCATAAAAAAGCTGCGAATCGTTCTCGGAACGCGCGAAAACGTCAACTCGAAGTACCCAGAGACAAAGAGTGACCCTCCGCCAGACTCTTCACGACAGGTGGAAACTTTTACTCTCGGGGATCCAACACTCCCTGACGGAAGATTATATGGGAGCGAAATTCATCTTACCTACCAGCGGGCTGATTATTGAAACTTATAGACGAAGATATTGACAAAGATGACAAAAGGGATTGGGAAGGATCCTATTGGTAGAAGCAGGTGGTGGCAATGGACATAGGAGGTGGGTAATTGACTAGCTAACGGCAACCCACTAAAGACCCGACAGTCAGTCCATCATTTTCTTCCTTAGTCCATAAGAACCAACCATGTCAACCAATAGGATTGCTCCATACTCCCTATGTCTTCTTTATCTATCGCTTTGTCCATCAGTTTCAATAATCGGCCCGCTGCGGGCTGATTATTGAAATTAATAGACAAAGAAGATATAGGGAGTCTATGTAGCGATCCTATCGGTCGATATGGGTGGTTCTTTCAGACTAAGGGAGAAAATGATAGACATACTGTAGGGTCTCTCGTGGGTTGCCGTTAGTTAGTCTATTCCCTACCTCCTTTGTCCATTGCAACCACCTTGTAACCAATAGGATCCTTCTGTGCCCTGCATGTCAAAAAGGTCCCATGGGGCCCATGAGAGATTCCAGTGAGTCGACATGGGGATTTCATAGGGATATATTGGAACCCATAGGATGAGGAAGTAAAACTGCAGATCCTTATAGGGGAATAAAGATACCAACAGAAAACAGTGAGGTAGCCAGAGTAACCTAAGGGAACCCTTAGAATTCCTAGAGGGACCTAGGTTCTTCATCGTCTAGCCTTATGGGAGCATGAACCGATTCTTAATGGGTTTTTATGAGAACCCGTGCAATATTCCCTTATTCCCATTGGACCGTTTTGACAACGGGGAAAAATAACAGAGGCGACATCGCGTGTTTTGCGGAATTTAAAGTACCGAAAAAAAAATTGATTAAATCTCAAATCCTCCCGTTCTTAAGGGAACTCCATAAAAAAGCATAGTGATGTATTTCAGCTTCTATAGTTTTGGCAAAATTGTATTCATTGTTTATTTAATTAATCAGTGTGAATGAAACAATACACACAACAAAAATCACAGTCGCAGTTACAGCTGGTAAGAGTGAAACGAAATCACCTCTTCAGTCTGACACCAGACTGACTTACGAAACGAATTCGTGCAATGTCAGGATCATAACGTCATCCTGAAGTTAATGTCACCAGTTTGAAGTCAACATACTTAGCGGACATCACGTCACACTAGTTTATGAAACATATCGTTAAGATGCCATAATGAGCTACTCTTACTTGGACGTATTTATGCGAAAAGGAGATATGTGCAAGTGGAAAGATGGGGTGTGCTCGTTAGTTGGGTCATAAGAAACAATGTAAAAGTGGATATAGCTCCTTTTAAGAAAATTGAGAAGCGGGATTTGACATTAAATCAAAAGGAGCTAAACGCCAAAATATGCTAACTCATGAGCCGCGGGCATGGCAAGAGAGCGTTGTGGACAGGGCTCATGAGTTACAGCGCCCCGACGATGATCCCCGGCTCGTGTGTGGCCTCCTTCATTGCCGCTGACGTCACTGGCGCTTTTTATTCCCCATTCATTCTTATGGCCCGACCACTAACGAGTACACCCCATCTTTCCACTTCCACATATCTCCTTTTCGCATAAATACGTCCACTTGGAATACAACATGTAGGGACTCTGAATAAACTTGATACGTACACAATGACTAAAAGTCATAAAATCCTACATGAGTTGGCCAACTTTCATGTCAAATATGTGTTAAGAGCCGAAAAAATATTGATAGTAAGGTTTTTTTCAGTATATTTTAAACTAATAAATTATACAGTCAAACATGCTTACTTGCTTGTTTCTCGTAGTAACGAATGAATGTTGCGCATTTTTATTCAGTCACTTTTAGAGCGGGTCCTCGTTCACGTTCACGAAATAAGCAAGTCTAAACTTCTTTTTCCATCTCAAGTGAGCAACGTCAAAATTAAAAACCGCCTCTTGTTTTTCCATTCACATTGTCCACATGTATCACAATTGCACACCTCGGTATCAAAAAAATGTATCATCGTGGGATGGTAAAATTGTGCGATTTTATGCATTTACTATCCGCGGACGAACACATTATCGGGTTGAGTTCTCAATGCGCGATGAATGACAACTATGTCAGCCACAGTGATGAATCCTCCCGCATCAATCAACGAGATCAATTTTGTGATAATAGCGTATTTTTAAAGGCTTAATTTATTGATTTTTGAAGTTGAGTTCATTACTTAGTGATCAGAATCAATTTTACGAACACCATGTATGAGAAGACCACAAAAATTTTAAGGAGGCACATAATTTGAGGATTTGATTGGAATGCGATAAAGCTACCTATCTAATCTTTCATTAAAACGCTGGACCAACGTAGTAATCAAGTAACATGCGATTAAATGGGCGTATTTCTGTCAAACGGAACTATGTGCATTGAGGCATGAGCCCTCGAGACCCATAAGAATATATGCATAACTTACAGGGCTCACGTCATAATGCACTTGGTTCCGTTTGGATGAAATACGTCCGAATGACGATCCAATTTCAAGTTTACTGATTCATGACGTACAAATTTGTATACGTAGTACTAACCTCCTTTTCTGATGGTGCGTGAACTTCCTCAAGATACTACCCCTGTGTATGCATTGACTACGGATGCAATAAAGCCACTACCATCTAACTTTTACAGAATGAGATGAAACTGCCAGAGTAGGATTAACGCAAAAAATTAACAGAGTTAGGCACCACTATCTTATAAACTAATTGTACTATTTGAGTAATTGAAGAGGACAACAGTTTAAATGTTTACTATACCGCTTGCTCCAGCATGGAGTCAAAAAGTGATATGAAACTCCTTCATGAAGAGTGTTTTTATACCGGTTTGTGCTTCGCATATTTCGCATATTTACGCACGTAAATACTATATCTGCACTTCAAGCAATGGAAAAACAATCTCTGAATTTTTAGACCTATATTGTGATCAGCCTCAAGTGGGATACTTCATGGTGACACAAAAACCGCCGCAACTCTCAGTATAAACAACGTGACACCAATACTTATTCAAGATGTAATTTGCAAATTAAAACGTATCAGCAGTCAACAAATTATAATTCTAATAACCTTAATCCTCTGATTTGGTGGGCTGATATTTGCGCTATCGAGCCACTTAAGCTTAAAGGATTTTGTGCTGGACAAGTGCGGACAAATTTCAAACCACTAGCAAGGATTTTCATTCTTTAATAATTTTTTTTTTTTTTTTTTTTTTTAAAGGATTCTGATAGTTTTTGGTTTAAAATATACCTAATCAAAATGGGACAGTCATTTTTAACCCTGGTAAAAATTGGCGATAAGAACTGCGTTTCAAAATAACATAGGAATTCTTATAGCCGGCTAAAGAAGGCTACAGAAAATCATATGGCTGGCTGTAGAATGCGGAGAAAATCATACGGCTGGGCTATACGAAGCGATAAAAAATTATGCAGCCGGGCTACAGTTTCTTTCGCCGAGCTTTACATTTTATCGCCTGGCTGTTGCTTTTTTTGCCATCGATCATAAAAAGCTATAAGAAATTGTGTAGAAATTCGTGTGCTTTGGAAATCATTAAGTTTGATACGGAACCACCTTAATATTTATAAAACACACGTTATATTTTCCTTTAATACATATTTTTTTTTCATCAATTAAAACGAGAATAATCCATACAGGATGTGCAAACATTTCAAAATCATGAGTTGAATAACGTTGGCTCCACCAGATTAAATATTAGAACCTAACACAATGAAGCGGAGCGGCGACGCACTGGCGCCTACAAACCTAACAGGGATACTTCACGCATTGCGCAATGCGTGAAGTATCCCTGTTAGGTTTGTAGGCGCCAATGCGTGTTTCGCGCTGGCTGCCCGCCTACCGCAGCGTGCCACGGCGCTTGAAGCAACTATTTCACATCAGAGGTATTGCAGAGTATCTTACGAAACTGAAGGCGCTCTAATATATTAGGAATGGCAGGCATCCATCAAAAATACGGAGCTTTCCTCGCAAAATAAATCAAGATACTACGGCCCAAAAAAAGAGCAGTGGTCCAAAAACTCACTAAGTCCTAGCATCCATAATTAGTGACGTTTAGCATACACTTTATCGCCTGACTGTGAGTTGCTTAATTCGGCTATAAAAGGCTATAAGAAATTGTGTGGCCGGCTATAGAAGCTATTGGAAATCTTACAGCCGGCTGTAGGTCTATGGTATTTTGGAGCACAGATTCTACTGCCAATTTTTACCAGGGAAGTTACAGCCCGTTGACGAAATTGCCCAGTGCGGAGACTGAGCGACTTTTTTGCCCCGTCAGTGGACTGGCCGTACCCCCGTTACTCAGTTCAAAAACTGGTCGATATTTTTGCCCAGTCCGTAGACTGGGTAGCCAGTCCACGATTTGACCGGTCAAAAGTCTGAAAATTACGCCAACAGTCGTTAATTTTAAATGCAATCCGTTCGCTAACCGACAAATGTCCCCCACTCTCTAAGTTCTAATGAATATCTTGCGAGATTTTGGACGAAACTTGAAAGTATGAAAACAATTCACTTGTTATCTTTTTCACAATGTATTTTTTTATTCCAATTTTCTCCAAAATGTTTAATACTTTACGAGTTTTTTTAATCTGGATTCTATTTCCTGTACCTGGGATGTGCATGTTGCATACTTAAAAATTATAGGCATTGCCTTTTTACAAAAACTACACCGAGTAGGTTGTGGCGCGGCGCCTTGATGCAAGTATTCGTGTCCCACGGATGTGCGTGTGGTATGTTAAAAAACTGAAGGCACTCTCGCTTTTCTCACCTCTGTGGGAATGCATTGGAGTCGTCGCAGCTTGTAGCAACACTCAAATAAAAGATCACACATCGACTGCGTAAGTCCGCAATCACATATCTGGTTCACGGTGTCTGAAAATCCCGCCTCTATGTTATTTTTTAAAGGAGAACAAATTGACATCATTCCATGACGTTTGTGCGGAATTTTCTGCAAACAGAGAAGAAAAATCACGGCAGTCTTACGGAATTTCCGTTGAATAGTTTTCCGCTCAAAAAATAAAGTATGACAGGAAGACTGCGACGTCGCAAACCGAGTTATGTGATTGCCGACTTACACCGTCGATATGTAATATGTAAGGAGCTCATTGTCAACTGAATCCTTTACTAAGAACAGAATTGCCGCTCGCTGATTGGTTTAAAAATTTCAGACTTTCTTGTATTCTCTAATTTCTAACTTTTAATATAAGTTCGAACAAAATTCGAACAATTTTCAGATTTTTTCACCTCTCCCTCAATTATTGAAATTTCAATTAATCAGGTTTGTAGAAAAAAGAAAAAGGAAAAAAGGAAACTCATTAATTTGCGTTAAAATTTTTAATAAAGAACTCGTCAATGTTAATCCTGCAAAAAACATCCTGACTGGGAAGTTTCTCCCACGGGGAGTAAAACCCATGGCTAAAGTCCAAGAATGCGTATCATCGCGATTGTGACGTTACAAATTTTATAGTTCTCTTTAAAAAAACCAACCGACTTTTTCCTGACATTTTCTGTAAATGTTCCTCATATTACTCATTCAAAAATATCTACAGCAAAATTCTAGGAAATGTATTGGATGGAAAAATACAAAATACAAAAAAATAACTTAAAATAAAATAAAATAAAACACTGAAACGTGAATTAAGATACGCATTTTTTGACTTAAGGTATCAGTATGCACTTCCTGATATTAGGGGAACTGCAGCTTTGACTGACAAATGTATTCACTCTTTCTAGCTTTAAGAGCTTAAGCTCTTTAATTCTGAGGGTCAGCGGCCGGTCCAGTCTCGCCGTTATCTGTTACATCAGAGTGCAACGTGTAATTACGTTGAACACACTGAAACCAGGCTACTTACGAAGAGAAATCGTGAAAACCTCAAACTTTTCTCTTTCTTGTTTTAATGATGTGAAACTTCACACAGAGAGTAAAAAATAGGTATTCAGAGAAGAAATGTAGGAAGGGGGAGAGAAAAAGAGAGAGAAGAAAAAAAAGGGGCTTATCTATCAATAAGTTGTGTTTTTTCTTTTTTTTCAATAAGTGATTTATCTTTTGTTTGCATGATCTTGGATTGAATTAAGGTGAGTTGACAGCTATAGGTGTATTTAACAGAGGGAACTGGATTACAGCTCATGCAGAATTCCACTTCAAAAAATTAAGGTTGAGGTCAACCAATTTTCGTTGCATCTGAGGGCCTTGATCTACGTAAGATACTGATAGGACTATTAATGAGGAAGTGATTTTTTGCCTTGATTTAAAAAGACCATGAAAAATCTTATATTTTTATCCTTAATTTGATTGAATTTTAGTCACTTTAAGCGACTAATTGAATTTGAAACATTAACTGAGGCTTGGTAGAAAACAATTAACTCGTTTAAAGTCGACCCTGAAAGAGAGAGTCCTGCAGTTTTATATCAAACGTGTCTCTCTCTTTAACTAATGCTAAGTCACGCGAATAAAGGTATCTGGGCCTGCGTTGGTCTTCTGTAGAAATGGGCAATTGGAGCGAATTTAGCGTTTAGAATTTAAAAAAAAAAAAAAAAAAAAAAAAAAAAAAAACCTTCAGAACTAGATGCAATTAATTCAGTTTTCCGTTCAATATTACATTTTCAAAAATGTCAAGTTATCACATTTCATCATTTAATCTGGAAATTTTTTTATGGTGCCAAACCACCAGTGCTCAAATTAATTTTTTCAGGGATTTATTTCAGCCCTATTTTGCTTAACTTAGTCTTAACTTATTGAATGCGATCAGTGCTTATAGGAAAAAATAGAGTGACGATTCCTCAAATTACTCTTTCCTTCTCATTTACTGTGACCTGGATACTTGTACTCGGGAATCATTTTCAGAGCATGAAAGCATGGTGACCTTCTTGCTGAACTGTACGGAAGCGCCGCATATCGGTTGTGGCAATTAAAAAATAATTTATGAACCGCTCAGAGATTAAATTGTGGGAGAATTTTCTACATCATTTTACTTTTGCTTTCTGTTTGTTGTCCAATTTGATAACATAATTGCGAGTTAAGGAACTGAAACTAAAAATAAAAGCCAATCTCCCCTCTTTAAAG